AATAATTGGACAGTTAAGGCGGTGTGGGGTCTTGGAAGGGATGCTGTGTGGTTAGGGTTTTGGTTAGGGTTAGAGTTCGGGTTAGAGTTAGGGTTAGGGTTAGGCAGTCTGGTAGCAGGCTCTGGGATTATGCACAAGCTACCCATAGCTCATCTGACCATCATCACACGTGCTGCCAACAATGCATCCTCATGCACTGTGTGCACTGGCAGAAATAGCCATCCGAATTGGGGTGTGGCTGAACTGCCAACACTCTGATTTGATGACTGATGCTTTATCCTTTTTTATTTGTTCATGGCATGAGGGCATCTGTTGTGCATCTCTAATTGCACAGAGGGCAGATAAGAGTCAACCACATTACTATGGGTCTGGGGTTACATGTAGGCCAGAACAGGCAAGAATGACAGATGCCCCCTCCCTGAAGGGCATTAGAGAACCAGATGGGCATTTACAACAATTGACAATGGTTTCATGGTCATCGTTACACTCTCAATTCCAGATATTTTTAAAATCGAATTCAAATTCCAACATCTTCCATGGTGACATTCAAACCGAGATCCACAGAACATTACCTGGGTCTCTGCTTTACCAGTCAACTTAAAATACCACTCGGCCAACACCTCCTATTACCGCTTGGGGTCAGGCAATTGTCGGTAGTACAAACAAAGGTGCTGACACAACCGCTTAACTGATTACTACTTGAAAAAGGCGATCCCATTGGCCATGGTACAGGGAAACCCTAATAAATGTAATACCACAGAACTATCAATGTTGAAATTTATATGCCTGCATGTCAATTTTCTTCTTCAATGTGTTGAAATTCAATGTTCCACACCATCTCACCTTGCATTGCTATGACTTTGGGTCTCACAACCTTCATCATTGTACTGTAACCTGGATCTTATAAGCTCACTCTCTGACTGCAACCCTGGATCATATACCTTCTCTGACTGTGCTGTTACCCTGCCAAATATTCACCATCCCTCTCACCGTGCTGTAACCCTCTTATAACATCCATCATTGTACTGTAACCTTGCATCTTATAACCACCCTCATTACCTGCACCCTAGCTCTTCTAACATCCCTTACTGTGCTATAACCCTGGGTGTATTACCCTCACTCATTGTGCTTATACCCTCCTTCCCTCACTGTGCCATAGCCATGGGTCCATTACCTGCCTTGACAATGCTATAAACTGCTCTTATACCTGCTCTCATTGTACTACAAGCTATGTCTTATACCCTCCCTGACTGCACTGTAACCCTGGGTCTTAACGCCCACTTTACTATTCTGTATCCCTGACTCCTCCACCTTTCCTTCATGTGAGGCAAATTTGCCATCAGGAAAATTATAAGTCTTTAAAAACAGATGATTGTTTGGAAAGGACAGGCTTGATGAATAATTATTTTGAGGAGGTCTTTGCAGTAAAAAGAATAATAAATCTAACATTCCAGAGAAAGTAATAATACACAGAATTCTTGGCATATTTCTGATCCATTTACAGCATGCTTCTGCCCATCAGTGCTGCAATTTGGAGTGCGCCAGCATCTATCATTGCAAAGTTGTTGGCGGGACACAGTGCACTCAGAGTCAGGAAGCATGAACAGCTCACGGAATGGATCAGGGTACATCTTGTGCTTATTTAATCGTTTTCTTAGCACTCATTCATTTTGAGCACATTTGGATGCTTATATTATCCCTGCCTTTCCCTGTTCAACATTGAAGTTTTTGCACTTCATGCCCCCAGCCAGAGCTACCAAGTTCACATTACTTTTATCTTACTTTGATGTTCAGTGCAGACACAAAGGCCGAAGGCTTGTCATGGTTGTCAGCAGTCCTCAGCCACATCAAAAGAATCAGTCTTCAGGAAGGAGGTCAGAACACAATAATTCAAGGGCCTCCAAGAACAGCCTTGGTCAATGTCAGTCAGCAATTTGGGCCAGTTACAGTCAGGGTCCTTTCCTCATAAGGGGTGAAGAGCCAAATGCCAGGCTGCTCACCAGCTGCCTTAACTCTCTCTGCCCTATTGTGGGCTGTTATCCCTGTAACAGGAGAAAGGGAAGGATTGAGTTTTTTTTTCGTTTATTCGTTCATGGGATGGGGGCGTCACTGGCTTAGCAGCATTTATTGCCCATCGCTAATTGTCCAGAGGGCAGTTAAGAGTCAACCACATTGCTGTGGGTCTAGAGTCACATGTAGGCCAGACCAGGTAAGGATGGCAGTTTCCTTCCTCAAAGGCCATTAGTGAACCAAATGGGTTTTCTGGCAATCAAGAATGGTTTCACGGTCATCATTAGATTTTTAATTCCAGATATTTTATTGAATTCAAATTCCACCATCTGCCAAGGTGGGATTCAAACTTGGGACGCAGACCACTATCTGGGTCTATGGTTTAACAGTCCAGCAATGATACCACTAGGGCCATCGCCTCCCCAGGAGTGTTATGAAAGTGGCTGGCATAGCTGTTAGTGTTGGTCTAGGTTGGGGAAAGGTGATGAGTTGTCCGAAGTAAGTAAATAGACAGCAGAGAGGGCATTCTGGGTTTCAAGTGCTGTACTTTGGGGTGAGTGAGAGTGATTGAGAGAGGACGCTGCATGCATGGTGAGAATGTTAGAGCATGAGGCCTGATGGGAGATGAATGCAGTAGAAAAGGTTAGAGCAAGTGTGAGACAGCACATTGAAGATGGTGGCTCCTATCCTGGCAAAGTGGAGACTTTCATTGACCTTATTTCTACAATGCTTTAGGTTCCTGAAGATGGCCTGGGCAACATGGATTTGGGTGTCAGAATTTGGCACAACTTGGCAGGATCTAGTGTGGTGTTCTCTAGTGCTTGGGAGAAGAGGATGGCCTTCCTCTGCATCAATTTGTCCACCAGGGCCTTCAGGGCATTGCTTGCAAAGTGAGCCATAATTTTATTTTCTCTGTCATACGGCAACAAATGTTGGTCACCGTGCAGGTTAGGTACAGACTGAAAGCGCTTTTCCAATGGCTCAAAAGGATTTAAAGATTGCATAGATGCCAGGGATGGCAGTGTATTCTGCGAAATCCTGGCAGTAATGAGATTTTCTGAGTATGCCAATTTGTGGAATCAAGCTAGCATCAAATGGGAGGTGTGTCAATTGGAGAAATTAATGTAACAAACAATTCAGGCTTCATCACAATTAATTTGAAATCTCCGAGAAATCTTTACCCGTTAATCGGTTTGAATTGTTCATGTAAATGAGGAAGTATTTCCCCGGATGATGCTACATTTAATACTCAGCCTGGTGCTGATGTGTTTAGTTTTCTTCTGTTCGCGCCGAGATATAGGTATTTGGTGACAACACAGTGTGGAACTGGAGGAACACAGCAGGCCAGGCAGCATCAGCGAAGCAGGAAAGTTGACGTTACGGGTTGAGACCCTTCTTCATTAAAAACTCTTTTTCTGAAGAAGGGCCCCAATCCGAAACGCCAACCTTCCTGCTGCTCTGATGCTGCCTGGCCTGCCGTGTTCCTGCAGTTCCAGACTGTGTTGTCTCTAACTCCAGCATCTGTTGTTCTTGCCATCTGTCCAGATATTTAGTATCGTTTGAAGCGATCAGGGATGGCGACATCATTAAAAAGATGAAGGATCGTATGTTGCAAATCTCTACTAACCATCAATTCAGTGGTGATTCGTTGCAAAACATACGTTAAACTCAACGTCCATTGAGTTTGGTGCGAGTGTTGAGGTAAATACGTATCAGAATGCGATTATTAAAGCACATATAAATCACGGAGATAAGGTCACATAATATCACACAACTATTCAGAAATAAAGAGTCTTTTCCAGGAAACAATCCTTTACTCTGTCTAAATTCGTCTCTGTCTTCATATTCTCACACAATCCGATTCAGCAGCAAACGATTTAGGAGCTGGAATCAGCTATTCTGCATTTCTCCCCTGATATCCATTTCTTAAAATTCAGGCTGAACCAGCTGGGGTCCACTTTCACTTTTCTGTCCCTTTAGCCTTTGACTGCCTTGTCTATCAGAAATCTATCAAATTGTGCCTTGATTCATTTCAATGACGCAGCCTGTGCTACTTTCTGAGGAACAGATGTACAAGGACTAACGACCCTCTGACATCTCCCACCTCAGCCTTAAAATGGTGACTTCACTCTTAAACCGTTTCCGAGATTCACTGTCTCCTTCATAAGTGGAAACATCTATCAGTATCTTTCACCTTTCTATCCCTGGATCATTCAGTTGTATAAGGGATGGGCCAGCAGACCCTTAAATTTAGGTCAGAGAGATTGTTTAATAAGAATCTGTGTGCGAGAGAGGTGTGTTCACGTTTCCGAAATGGCCCTATTGCCACTCCAGCCTTTAGCAGTGGTTCGCGGAGATCACAAGCCCCCTCGTCACCCCGCCGCTCCCACACACCTGCCAACCTCACGCCACTCCACCTCACGACGCCCCCTTCATAAACACCGAAGCATCTGATTAAAATCATTACATCCTCACACCGAGGAAAAGACCCGCAAAAAGAACGCTGCGGTTGGAAGCGGAGATACAGGATGGGCTATCTATTCAAAGAGCCAACCGTGTAACATAGCAGCTTGAAGTCCGCGTCCCTCAAGTGTGTCGCATTTTGAAATGTTAACAACGAAACTCAAATCATGAAGTTACAGGAAATGGAACCATTCAAGACTTGACTGAAATGACTGCATTCATTCGTGAGAGATATCGAGCCCCAAAATCCCGAGAATGTGGAAACAGGCCATTCAGCCCATCGAGCCCACACCGAAAACTTCCTACCCCGGCCAACCCGCCCACCCTATCCTGGAAAGCGGTATCTCCGATGGATTCCCCAAGACACTATGAGCAATTTACCATGGCAATTTACCAAGGTCAATCCACCCGAACTGCACATCTTTGAACTGTGGGAGAAAACCAGAACAGTTGGCGGAAACCCACGCAGACACGGGCGGAACGTGCAATCTGTACACAGACAGTCCCATTGGTCCCTGGTGGTGTGAGGTAGCAGTGACAACTACTGTGCCGCCAGGTTTGTGCGCAAAAGCTTGTAAATCTCTTGGGAACTGCTCTCTTGACGTTTGCTCCGGTTGGGAGAGCTTGTTTAAAAGGAACTGCCTCTTGCAGGACACGGTAGGAGTGGAGCTGTCCACTGAGCTAGTGCTGACACTCAGCAAAATTTCAAACGCTGTAAAGCTGCACCTCTCACTTTCTACCTTCCCTCGACGAGGTACCTCACTTTGTGCAGTGATGTGGTGCAGCCGAGTTCGGTGCAGCCGGGTTCAGTGCGCCCTCGCCCTGCTCTCCATCGCTCTGGCAGTGCTGAGTGCGGGCGCCCCTCCCACAGCCGACAGGTATCGCGAACTCCTCCAGACATCCATGGCTGCCGCAGAGCCCCGGAGTGAAGCGGTAAGAATCCAGCAACGGGAAACCCCCATGTCATAAAGCGGATAATATGGTCATACCGTTTAATTGAAATAGAGCCGAATAAGGGGAGAGAATAATTGTTCAGTTTTAAACCTGCTTAGGAAGACTTAATGCTCACAAATGACAACAGCGCCGAGTGAGTTATATTTGAGTTTCACAGATCTCTCGGTTTTGGAAAGGGCACTGATCGCGTTTGATTTGACCGTGAGAGATCACCGAGCTGCCCAGGCCCAGGGAGACAGTTCTCTCCCTCTATCGAGTTGATATCGCCACTTCGATCAGACTGGAAACAAACGGCTTGTAACTTGCCGGAGGTTCCCTTTCCAGGTTCCCGCTCCTCCCGTCTCTGGTTCAGACACATTCCCTTGGATTGAATCGATATTTGTCTCAGGAACCTACAATCGCTCGCCCAACATGATCCAAACCTCGCGGCAAAGTCACCTTTGGTTGAAAGAGATATTGGTGTAAATGATAGCAAAGCAAAGAACTGCGGGTGCTGGAGATTTGAAACAAAACCAGAAATTGTTGAGGAAACTCAGCAGGCCTGGCAGCACCTGTGGGATGGAAGCAGAGTTAACATTTCAAAACCTGTGAGTCTTCATCAGAACTGTTCCCCCAGCAATTTCTGTTCAAAGAAATGATATTAACGTAACAAGTTTAGATATTCTGTCTGTTAGCGGGAAATTCACAGCCCTCAGAATTACTAGAACTACCCGAATGAAAAATATGCTTCTACTCTTATCCGGGGTTTCCTCTGTCTTGCCAAATTCCACCTTACCCTGATTAACTCAGCCCCTGAAGCGACCACTCTGAAGCGGGATATGAACGATGTTGCGCAATGTATTTGTTGTTTTGTGATTTAATTGTGAACTGTGATGTTCCCTTGCTGTTGGAGTCGACAAAAAGGAAATGAGTGTAATATCACCCGTTGGGACGCAGGGACTAAAACAAAGTTGATGGAAAAGCTCAGCAGGTCTGGCAGCATCTGTGAAGGAGAAAACAGAGTTAACGTTTCGGGTCCGGTGACCCTTCCTCAGAATCTCCTTCACAGATGCTGGCAGACCTGCTGAGCTTTTCCAGCAACTTTGTTTTTGATCCTGATTTACAGCATCCGCAGTTCTTTTGGTTTTTATTGGGACGCAGGGACTGATGGGCTGACACTATTGGAAACATTTACCAAACTACACTTTCAAAGCCAGCAGCTGATGCTTCCATCAGCGCCAACTCAGATGATTTCTCTTTCCTTATTATCCCTTTTTCTTACTTTAGGAACTGTTCAAAAACAATCTTGTCCAGTTGCTCTCGGAGCTGGGAAACGACGAGAACGAAACCTTGGATGGGCAGGATTTGCCGGAGAAGCGAAGCAACGTTCAGAATCCACCAGTCACACCCAGATCGAGTGATACGGACTGCGTTAACTTCAGCAAGTGTTCAATCCCTGATTCTCAGGAATAACCGACTGCTTCACTTCAGTCACATTCGGTCAGATGTGGCAGCATCAGAGCTACAAATTAAATAATGTAATTGATGATTTTATTTGATTTATTTGACACTAGAGTTTGAGTTTAAATTCGCCAAAAGCAGACCAATCCTCATTGTGATTAGGTAGGATCACTAAGATTAAATAGACTCTTTCTCATTGAAATAAAATCTCTGTTTCAAGGTGGAATATTGTGTTCGTGTTTTGTGTGGTGGGAGCTGTGGTCAATATACCTGAATGGGCAGAAAATCAAGTCTTTGCAAAGCCCAGTCATTCTGGGAAGGTACACTGCGCGGAATTAAGCGTCCACAGTTCGAACAATGTGACCATCAGCTGGTGGAATTCGTTTCGAGTCCCATTGCCAGAATCTGGTTTGTGTGTTAACTTGCTCTGTGTCCAAGAGGCAGTGACAATCAGCCTTATCTATATGAAGGGTTTTCTACCCCAGATCTTCGTGCGCATTGTGTCTGCTAGCAGCTACATGGGAGAAGACCCTCAGTGCAGGCATCAGGACCCAACCGCTTCACTGAAACCAACGATGCACAAAGCATTTCCCAAACTGGCATCCAGTTTTCCATTTCAAATTTGGGTTCTCTTAAAACCTGCCATTTGTTTTTGTGTCATTTGTTGCCCAATCTCAGTGCTGTAGCTGGAGGGAGACATGGTGTTCCAGCTGGGGCTAGTGTTGGAGGTGGTGGTGAAGTGGTCCGGAGGGGGTTGGGGAGTAGGGGAACATTCCCCCATTCTTTACCTAACAGGATTCGGGAAATGAAAGACATCGTTTGGTCAAATCAGCAAGTGCCCATGCAGCGAATGACCACAAAATATCGGTAATCGCAATCCTAAATTTCAGACTGGCCACGGCAGCGTTGCTGGTCAGGAAAGCTATCACACACTCAGCACGCAACTGCCCGGCATCGTTCCACTTAGAGAATAACAACTAGTAACAGATTTTGCTTAGGGTGTCTCTGTCTCAGCAGCAGCACGCACCCATCCGGGTCAAAGTGAGATGTTGTGTTTGGGGTCTTGTCCGAGGGAATCTACAACTTCATATTCCTGAGTTTAGGAAATTTCAGATCATGCAATCACCCACTTCTTATCTTAACCAACCAATCACTGTTTTACTCTATTGTACAGAGACAGGAGGAGGCTTGGAGGGAAGCGGAGAAATAGAATGTACACGAGCGCGGATTTAAAGTACAGCATCAGACAAGCACACATGCTGGAGCACATCTGATTCTTGTAGGAGGGAGAACAACACATTCTTTAAGAAGGAAAATGATTGTCTCTAGCAATCTTTCATGCTGCACCACATCTGAATGGTCAGAGTGTCGAGACTAACGGTAAATCACCACTATCAATGATACCCTGTGGGGGTGTGGTGGAAGACTAATTGGCACTATTGTCTCACAGTGCGAGGGTCCCGGGTCACTTCCAGCTATGGTCTGTGCGGAGCTTGCCCATTCTCCCACAGTCCAAAAATGTGCATGCTCGGTAGATTGGCCATGTTAAATTGCCCGTAATGTTCAGCGATGTGTAGATTCGGAGGATAGGTGTGGGTGGGATGCTCTGTGGGTCGGTGTGGACTTGTTGGGCTGAAGGGCCTGTTCCCACACTGTAGGGATTCTATGATTCCATCATTCTGATTCTAGGTTTCGCCGTAGTGTACTGAGATGCGCAGTTTAGGTGGGATAACTATGATAAATACGGGGATAGGGTGGGATGCTCTTCAGAGGGTCAGTGCAGACTCGATGGGCCAAATAGTCTTTATTTGCACTGTAGGGATTCTGTAATACTGTGTTAGGGAAGGCAGCACCACACGTTCCTTAAGACGGCAAATCATTCTCTCTGGCAATCCTTCATGGTGCAACACACGGAAGTAGCGCATGTGTACAGACTGATGCCACTGGCAACGATACACTATGGACCATTAATTCAATGAGAAGAATTGTAACCCGCCACAATGATCCAGCTTCTACAGGTTGTTGCGGATGCAAACAATGACACTATGGAAGTGGATTCATCTGAAGCTAAGGCTCCAACTGAAAACAAGATGCCAATGAAATTTCAGCATCGTCATATTGGAATGAGATTGTGAAAAACCTGGAAAAGCTACGAAATACGCTCATGCATTGTACTCCACTGTACTGCACTGAGCCCCTCCACTCTATCACACTACACCACACTGCAAATTTTTACATTGAATTACATTTCACTGTGCAGTGCACTTTGCCTTGCTACAACAAATGACGTCTTCCCATTGTATCCCACTTTATTCTAATTTATAAACAAAAGTTGCTGTAAAAAGCTCAGCAAGTCTGGCAGCGTCTGTGGAGAGAAATCAAAGTTAACTCTTCGGGTCCGGTGACCCGAGGTCACAGACCCGAAACTTCAGCTCTGATTTCCCTTCACAGATGCTGCCAGACCTGCTGAGCTTTTCCAGTAACTTCTGTTTTTATTTCTGATCTACAGCATCCTCAGTTCTTTTGGTTTGTATTCTACTATACTCTATTGTACCTCATTTTACTACACTGTTACCCGACTGTACTTCACTGCATCCAACCGGAACTACTACACTGCTCTGTACCCCTCTGCATCACACTGACTCCTTCCCACTGTAATCCGAAA